GATCTCTGAAGATCAGAATGTTCTGGGAGGAACATAGGGGAGAAGACAGTCTTTCAGATAACCTGCCCCCATCATATTTAGAGCTTTAAGGGTGGCAATAAGCACTAGAATTTGGGTCCAAAAATGGACTGGGAGCCAGTGCAGATGATAAAGCACAGATGAAAAATTGTCAGACTGACTGGGTGGACTAGAAACAAAGCTACAACCATTCTCTATGTCTTTCCCCACTATAAGAAGATATATACTCAGAACTGGAGATGGGCCCAGAAACAGCAGGTAAGATTGAATCAGATCTCTCCCACTGATATGTTATAGACTATGCACCACTTAAACTGACCACATCCAGAACAATTAAACTAGTGGTGTTAATCTGAGCAATTTCTTTTCCTATTAAAGAAAATGGATGTAAGAAAGGTTAATTGAGAATGCTGCAGCAATGAGATACTTCTCTATGAATCATGGTTCACAGTCATTTCACCATTCCTTTTTGAAGTCTCAGAGAGCTGAAGTTACTTTCAGGCAATTAAAAGCATTGTGTGACCAGTTCTGAAATAATTTCAGGCATGATGGCATGACTAATTTTTACAGGTACCACAACTATATGCCAATTAAATACACTTTATAGTCAGGACTAAAAGCAAAAAGAGCCAGAGCACTTGAAAGGCTCTAATAATGATGCAAAGGTTTCATTAAAATGTTGTCAAAAGCCTAGCATACATTATATTTATTCTGGAAGAAACTGGTAGAGCAGCTATTTATAATAGTATCTGAAAGCAGTTTGAAATGAGGCACAGCAATTTGCAAATGTTGTGAAAGTCCAGTTATTTGGTCCCATTAACTTAGGGCAAGTACAGACTGGCCAAATGGGGACTTGAGCATCCATGGATTTTGGCATCATGGGAGGTCCTAGAACCCACCTCAGTGGATACCAAAGGCCCACTGTATATCCTGATGCTTCTAAAGTGACAAAATATAATGCCCTGAAATGAATTTGATCACACATTGTATCAGAGGACCATATGGTGATACAAAAGGATCTGGTAATGTGTTAAGAAGCACTTAAAGCCTTATTGCACAAAAAAGAAAGCGGAAATGGAGCCGGAGAGTAGCAGCTTTCTCCATGCCTTACCACATGATGTCGTAGTAGCACTTCAGTTCTCTTCCCATAGGAGACAGTTTTAATAGTGTGTCTTTTTTATAGCTGGAAAAATCTGTGTGACAAGACACACTTTTACAACCATCTCCTGCAGAAAAAGAACTGAAGCACTATTGTGTCATATGGTAAGGCACAGAGAAAGCTGCTACTCTGCAGCTCTGTTTCTGCTCTCTTTGCTTGTGTGATAAGGCTCTTAGAGGTCACATCACAGCTATTTACCCTGCTTCCCTCTAATTAAAAAGTGTACTTAGAATACTGTCTTTTCAGTATTCCAAAAATCCTTTAATTAACAGAGGTTTTGCTACAGCTTGTATCAGTTGCTGCAATTGGCACTTTCAATGTATGAGTGACTTTGTCAAAATGTATGGAAAAAATGGCAGGAAATTGTGTTACATACTGAGTACCACACATTTAGGACATATGGTGTTCCTATATCAGGGAGCCAAATCACCACCTACAAAGAAAGGATACAAGAGCCAACTTCAGTTCATGTTAAAATCAGATGTTGTGAAATAATGACGACTAGGTGATGGCCAAACACCAAAACTTCCCTCATGGCACTGGCATCTCAATAGCTTCTTGAGGGGATAGCTTTGCCAGGTGGGCTCCATGGAGGTGGAGTTTCATCTTCAAAGATAACCTGGAGCTTCTTTTGCTTTCTCTGAATCATTTCGTCCACCTCTTTCCTTTCCTGTTGACAGTGAAGTACACTGTGATAATTAGTAACACACTACTTGAATAAATGCTAATTAATTTGTAATTTATATTCTACAAGACAATCTTAGCTTCCTTTACAAAATTACAAGCATGCCAAATGCACACCAGAAGAACTGTATACTGGTATCTGAAGCATTATTTCTCTAAAGAGATTTGTATATTTAATTATCAGTAGGATATGCTGTGGTGAAAATGTATGTCAATAATTTATCTGAAATAATTCAGACAGCTTTGTGTCATGCAAATAATTGCATAAGGTCCTAACAGGTTTGTTATGACTTCAAATACAGACAATTAAAATAATGAAGGCTAAAGAAAATGCTTGCTGACACTTTGTTGTTTTCTAATTAATTAATATTTTCTATCAGTGCATTCATTAAAATATACTCTTGATGTTTCAAGAAAAATAATTAGATTGTGCTAATTATATTTAAAAATTCACTGTTTGGTGGACAAAAAATACCATTTTAAAATTCCTGTACTACATTTAATTAGACCCTGCATTTACTACAACTAATAATGTTCTCTATAAATAGAGTTGCAGAATTATATTTGTCATAATTCAAACTATCTCAAACACAACCATATAAGGACACTGCATTTATTTGTTCAATGAGACTTGTAGAGTTGAGTTCTTCTCATCATTCTCAGTGCCAGAGCAGTGTGTTCTTTGAACTCACCTCTCAACTATACTTGCAATTTAGGGGAATGACCAAGTTAACAACTATCAGCCTTACCAGGGAAATCAGAAATCTTAGAAATCTTAGAGAAAGGTGGTTTGGTGCCTCTTAACCTCTTAAGTTCCAAATGAATTCAACAAACTCTTCTTGTCAGTCTTTTTGGGCTGAGAACACTTTTTCATAATGCCTTAGTGACAGATTCTTTGAATGAACATACAGTACAGGAATATGTCAAGGAAAAGATATCAAACATCTTGAAGTGGTTTTTTTTTGTTTTATCTTACTTTTTTTAACCAAGAGCTATAGATAAAACTACCGGTAGTCAGTTTTCTTCAATTCCTTCTTTATAAAGCGATGATAAAGAGATTCAGAGTTGATATTACCTTATGATAAAATATGGTGTCTCCTCCTAAATCAACTAAGATAAAGGGGTCACATCGAAGAAAATATAATTTGACTGAAAAGTAGTGACTGTTCTCATGAAATTGCTAAGCAAGAGCCTTCTAGATATATTATCAGTCTCTGCACTGGGAACCTGGCAGTGTACATATGCCCATATAGACATATAACTTCTCAATGGGAATTGAGTAGTACATTAGTTTCTCAACACAAATACCAGGAATAAATTTAATAACAAAAAGTGCATTCTCTGTAAGCCTACACAGCTTATTAGTATTGTTAGACAGCACGGATCCTCAGTAATTAAACCAATGGCCTTCTGTTGTAACAGAACGGGTGCATGATTTGCTCCATGGTTCAAATCGTATCCTTCATTCAGTATCTTAGATCAATAATAATAATAAAAAAAAGCCAGAGTGTGAATGTAAAAAGAGCTTAATAGTACAATCCTGTGTCTGCTTTCTAGGTCCCACTGAGTGTAATGGGAATTGCTCTAAAGTGGACTACAACTTCTCTAAGAAAGGGAATCAGTGACATTTGCTAAACTTTCATTTAAAATGTGACTGCAGTTATAGTTTTGCAGAAGGGGATTGTAAAATAAATGTCTATTTGATGGTTCAATGCTCTTTTTTCATGCATGGCTACCTACTATAGTAGCATTTAATGACTTCAGACATGTTGAAAACATGAAATGTGATTTTTTTTTCCCTTTATATTGTTTGTTCACTTTAGCTAATGTTTAAGCCACAGAATATTGTTGGGTGTTTTGGTAACAGAGAATTAAGTTTCAAAGTCAGCTAACACATCTTATCTATTATGTAACATATTAATCATAAGCACAAACAGCTTGAGAAGAATTTGGTGTCCCTTTTTTGACTCAGAAGTTATATCAAATTATAATATTCACAAATATCCAAGGCAGAAAATACTGAAAAAAAACTTAACACATGTTTTGTTGATCTACCAACCTTAGGGATGTTAATCTTAAAACTGTATTTCCAGATAACTGAACACACTGAGTTCATGGTGTGCAGTATCTATACTAGTGCAGGATCTACACTACAGAGTGAGTTTTAAATGGCCAATTGTGCTATGAGCATTAGTAAGTGATGATCCAAATGTGGAGTGCTAAAGTTGAAACATAGGGCATGGAAAATCCCCACAGGGCTCAACAGAGATCTGTTTCATTTATTCCTCCTTGAGATACACAAAGGCAAAACTACAGACAATTGCAGAGAAGGGAAAATCTGTATTAATATTTATTATTACTAATTTCTCTTTTCCAAAGAACTCAGGGCAGTACACTGTCAGTAGATGGCCACAATGCATCACTGCCCCCTACATTTTTTTTTATCTCAACCGCCATTTGGGATACTTTCATTTCAGAGAGATAATGGGTCCATGGCCAGTCAGTAGGTTTCATGGTTGAATGGGGATTTAAATAAGCATTACACCACGCTTATTGTCTTTCACAATCTAAATTACTCTGTTCTAACTAGCACCCAGCCAATGGAGGCTAGGTGGAGCTATTTATTTAAACTAGTAAATAAATTTTATTATTATTTTGTAATTTTAATTATATGCTATTTAATGCTGTTTTAGGGGGATAGGGTTGGTTTGGATAAAATGTTGTGGGATTTTTACTATGCCGCTTGGATTATTGCCAATAAGCGGGATATAAATAAATTTTATTATTATTTATTATTATTATTATTCATAGTAAACTGCAAAGGCCTCAGAAAAATAAAATATGTTAGTATAAAGGCACCTGCAAGAAGTTTAGCACAAAGTACTTTGACTTAGGGAGTTATTGAGGATTTTATTCAGTTTCAACTACCCCAGTTATCACTGAATTATGCATTGTACCAAATTTTGAAACATTATTCTTCACTAAAAACATATGAAAATGTGTATTTTAATTTTTTTCCTCCCACCTTTTCTGCAAATCTGGGTGCAAGGCAGCTTACAACATCACACTCCCCTGGCAGCCAGATAATTGCCCCAAGCCTGACTAAAATAAAAAGGCCTTTGTCTTCTAGCAGAAGAGAGCCAGCATGGTGTAGCGGTGTGAATGTTGGACTATGATTCTGGAGACCAGGGTTCAAATCCCTGCTTAGCCATGGAAACCCACTGGGTGACCTTGGATAGGTCACACTCTCTCAGCTTCTGAAGAAGGCAAAGGCAAATCCCCTCTGAACAAGTCTTGCCAAGAAAAACTCATGTATAGTTCACCTTATGGTCACCATAAATTGCAAACAACTTGAAGGCACAGAAGAACAACAATTTCCAGCAGAGGCACAATGCATTAGGACTCAGCCTAGCCTCCCTTGGAAAGGAGTGCCATAGTCTGCAGGCAGCCAATGGGAAGATGCTCTCCTGTATCATCACTGAACAGGCTTATAAAGGCAACAGGACTGAGTGTGCAATGTGCCTTGAAGATCAGCACATGGAAAAATAGAATAATTCAGATTTAGGATAATATACTAAACAAATGTGTATATTAGGATGAAATACATACAGAGCTATGTATAACTGAATTTTTTCTAAAACTACAAATTGATGCAGAAATGTGAACAAATGGACTTGTCAGTGAACACAGGCCAAACAGTCATGGAAACAGAAATAACCTGATACATCTGTTCCTATTTTAAATGAGCATCACAGCTATACTCAGCTTTTTATAAGCCTGCTCTGGCAGGAAAAAATAAGGTCTGTCAGAAAATTAGCTCTCTTTGTTCTATACTGTAATCACAGTAGCAATGCATCTAGTGGCTTGGAAAAGTTGCATTTTGCAAAAACCACAAAACATTGTTCTGGAAGTGCTTATATACTGTGACATTACTCAGAGAAAGTGTGGGATAGCTGGATAGCTAGAGGGAAGCCAAACAGACTATGTATAACAAATGAAAAAGAAGTACATATGTACTGTCTGTATATTAGGACTAGTAGGTTCTATTTAAACCATAACTGTGTCACCTATACTGATTAGTGCTTGGATTCACATGAAGTATATTATCATTTCCCCACTTCTGAAAGACAGCATTGTACATTTTGTTTCCCAGAGCACTGTGATAATTCTTAGACTAAAGCAGTGCTTCCACATCTTCTATGCTAAAATATTTTATGAACATACATGTATGTAATCCTTCAAGCAATTCTGAATGACTCACATTCTCTTTTACAAATTGGTTTCCTTGTATCTACATTCACTCACTTGTGCAGCTGCTGCTGCTGCTGCTGCTATATTTTGCTGGTTCTGGGCTGCGCTGACAAGGCCTTGCGGAAGTGGTTGTTCCTGACAGTGAACAGGAGAAGAGAACACTCTACCATCACTGACTATAGCACTGGGACTAGAAACCACTAGCATGGCAGTGGTATAACCAAAATCCTAGTGAGGCAGCCATTTTGCTCTTTTACAGCAACTGGTTTTCCTTTCTACTAAAAAAGAAAATCTATCACAACTAGGAAAAAGGCTTAAAATATAACCCAAGAAGCATATATATATATATATATATATATATATATATATATATATATGGGTTAACCGTTTTCTTAGTAGCTCACACTGTGACTAGGGCCTCCACTTGCTGCTAATTAGTGTTTTTTTTAAAGATACATGCAGTGCCAAATCACATGCCATGTGTAAGTTGGCCTCCATGAGATTATTAATCATACCTAAATTGTTAATTGAGATCTAAAATAAATCCTGTCATGTATTTATAATGAAGTGTCACTTGTTCATACTGTGTAGAAAAGGTATTCATTAAGTTTAGTAACTACCATGCACAGGCCTCTTTCCACATCTCCTTATGACAAAATATTGCTAATAATTTTGAGTAGAAGTACATTTCTGTGTTATTCACTTGTAGAAAGTTCTGTAAAGGTGGCAAAATTGTAGTTTTTGTTCTATATAACATTTTGCAACATTATTCTTGACTAAAAACATATGAAAATGTGTATTTTAATTTTGCCGTGCATCTTATTTTGCCATGCAAAAATCTTAACTATTGTTTTAGAATGCCAGGCATAAATATCTGATAGTTACTGTCTTGACGCACTACAAATAAGTAAACTAATGAGTGATTATACTGCCATCATTTGGGCATCTTCATAGAGTGGAAGTGGATAAAACAAAACCAGAATACTTATATTTATGTTTGCACATGATAAGCAATGCACATACTTACCAACCATTTTTCATATGCCTCTATGGCTCTTTTATCTTTTTCTTGCATCTCAACTTCTTGTTCTACTTCTTTTTTTCTTTCTTGGGTTTTTTCTTTTTTCTTTTGCTTCATGAATTCTTCTTTTTTTTCATTCCTAAAACATGAATGAAATGGTTCGCCACAGGGCGGTATATAAATAAATTATTATTATTATTATTATTATTATTATTATTATTATTATTAAGCACATTCATGCCTTCTATTAACACAGACAATAGCAATAATGTCATAAAAAGGTAAACCAATTAAACTAATTCATTTTTGTTCCTAAGGTTGGCAGATTCAGCTATAAATATAATAGTGTATATAATTCAGAATTATTCATATGTACCATTTTTCAACAGCAGACTTGCTATCTTTCTTCTTCTCTGCAATAATCTCCTCTTCTTTCTTCTTTTTCAGTCTTTCAACTCTTTTCTCCCTTTTTAATTGCTGTTTCAAATATTCTGCTTTCTTTTCTTTCCATTTCTCAAATGCCTGAAGAAAAAAAAGTAAGACCATTAAGATTTGTGTGCAAGATCTTTCATTAGTGCTGTTAAACAATTAAAAGAATTTCTAGTCAATTCATCAGCTGCTTGCAGCCACTCTATTAATCAGTTGATTGAGTGTGCATATTACAAAAGCAGTGTTAAACAATGTACTATTTTACAAACCAACCTAATATTTACTGGGAGAAATAAAGGACAGCTGGTCTTTATTTATTAGAATAATTAACTAGTTTTAGATCTGAGAGGGTCTTACAAGATAAAAGTATTAAAAAGACAGTAACATTAATTGCTACAAGCAGTTAAAAACCCAGTCTGAAATAGAAACATTAAAAGGCCTGAACAAATAAAAGAGGATTTCACCTGGTGTCAAATAAGGCACCTCCCCTCCCTCCCTCAAAAAAATAAAAAAATAAAAAAAAAACCTTTGGGAAAGGATTCCTGTCATATATACAAGTGGGTACCAGCACTAAAAAGACTTTGTCTCTGGTCAGAATTTAATTTACTTGAAAGAGCAAAACAGAGGTGGCGGACGCACACATTAAGCAGAGTTTCATGTTAATTAATCTGGGAGGAGACAATCCATTAGGTGTCCTCTTCTGAGCAGCAGGCAAAGAAGTTGTTTCAAAATTGACATAATATGCTCTCTGTTAGTAATTTGGAAGTTATATTTTGCACTAAGTTGATCCGTGCAACCCCGCATGACACTCTTCTGTTCTTTAATTTATATCCTGTCTTTTCCTTGCATAGGACTGAAGGAAGCTTACATCTTATTTAAAACAAAATATAGCTTGTGGGGAGGCAGGAATTGTTTTACCTATTGTATTTTTAAATTGTTGTACGCCGCCCCGATTGCCGAGCAGAGGGGTGGGTTATAAATAAAACTTATTATTATTATTATTATTTTCTAAAAGGTTTCTACCAGAGTTGCCACCAACCTAAAAACAAATATCTCTCTAATTCTCAGATTCACAGATTAAAACTACTCGCTGCCTTTTAAACCTCTAAACTTTAATGAAGGATCTGTAAATTAAAGCCTTTTTATAGATTTTGTCCTGCTGCTAGGCCTCACAAATTGCCAGATCTACTTGCAAATTCTACACTGAATATTGTCATATAGAGCACTGAAAGTTAACTGTAAGTGCTCTATTCACACTTGACCAGTTTACATATGCAGATCATTTTCAGAATACTACAGTAAATAAATTGAATTGCAGGGGTATGGAAGCACAGTGAACATTTTCTGCAAAGTCCATTTTGCACAGTCCTTCTCTAGGTTTAATGTTTGCAACATAGAAATTTCTCACTGCCTTTTGTGCTTCTTCCCTTTTCTTCTCATTTAGTTCTGCTTCTTTCTTTTTCTTTGCCTCTTCTAACCGTTTTTTCTCAGCCAGTTTTTTTGCTTCTTTTTCCTTCATAGCCTTCCAAGCTTCAAAGGATGCAAGTGCTTCTTCTCTCTTAGCAGCTTCCTTCTAAAGAGAAAATGTGCACTGTAAAAATATCTAGGAATTTCATTATCACTAATTCTGGACTAATTTTGTTTGCATTGTAGTTTTTATGGGTACATCTGCCCCAAAATTCATGAAATCTACTACTTATCCTTGTACTTGTGTACCTACACAAATGTATACCTGCACATTTAACCATAAAACACAAGAAATACCAGCTGAAATCCTACATCAGCTTACTAAGGGCCCAAACAGATTGGCACAATGTGCTGGCTTCGTAGAGGCATGGGGACATGGTGTATGCATGACACACACTCCCAAGATGCCTGAAGGCTGCCGTGAAGCCACCTGACTGCCCACATGGCAGTAGCTTTTCAACATTCCAATGGCACAGTGTTTAGATGCCGCATGCCGCAGAATCACCGAAAAGCCGCTGCTGTGGCAGAAAAGCCGGCTTTTTCCTGGCTCAAAAAGGAGAGGCTTTCTGCTGCTTCTTTTTGAGCCAGGAAAATGCCAGGTTGGACTGTGGCGTGTGGTTGCCATGGCCCAACAAGGCAATCAAAGGGTGGCATGATGTCGCTCCTTCAGGGCCATCTGTTTTGCCTCTAAGTAACTTCTCCTGGTCTGACCCCTTCAAACATGATGGAAACATCATTCAACCATACTCTGATTATTGTCAGAAAGGAACTCCTTCTCCCCATGGAGTTAGATAACTGTTTCATATTCACAATCACTACTTAGGGGGGTTGCAGACTGTCAGAAATAGTGCAAATTGTGTTAGTGCTAGGGAGTAACAGGAATTGTTTTGTTTTTTTTCCTGAGACATTGAGCCTTCTCTGTCAGAGAGCTCTGGTGCCACAATAAACTACACTTCCCATGATTCCCTAAACCTAAACCTAACCCTAAAAGTGGACTCAATTTGCACTATTTCTGGCAGTCTGCCACCCCAATTTTGACACTA